AGAGCTGCGTAGATGGGCACAGATAAGGAACGACATAGAGAAAGACACGCAGCGAGATGGTCAGATAGATGGTCATAGATACCAGTCAACAGAGATTTATTTATTTATGCATACAGAAGTGGGGTACAGGCCGGAGGGGAAAGCAACTGACAGATAGTCTTGTCCTTGGTTTACTGGCTTAGTTCCAGCTCGGCACCCCCATCTCCCCACCACTGTGTCTTGGCCTTCTGCTTTGTATTTACTTTATTACACCACTTTGTGCAAGGGGAACAAACCAGGTTGTGAGCCTTGAGGAAAAGCATCAATAAAACTTTCCTTCAGCTCTCACCTTCCCATTGGTGTATGGCCTGTTTACTAGAGGGTTACCATACTTGACACATGGGTAGAGCATCCATGATCAATTTCCTTCTTGCATTGGGAATGGATTTCCCAGAAAAGTTGGAGAAAAATTAAAATGTCAACAAGCAGTAAAATAAGTTGGGGAGAAAATGAACGGTTCCTAATATACCCGGTGAGATCAATCCACTTAAATGCATTCTGAGTTCTTGATAAAGTTGGAAAATCATCTGTTGTCCTTAGGCCTTGTCTAAATAAGGAAAAGTAGATTTTGTTTTTTAAAGAAGAGAAGAAGAGATCCCTATCTTAACCTTCTCTTTTCCCTTTTACGACTTCAAATTAGTTGCATGAGTTGAATTATACAAGCTATGTTTTCAAACCTAATGTTCATCAAATTCAGTAAAGGAGATGGTTAAAACATGAATGCTGGCCCTCCCTGATGGTGCAGCGGGTTAAAGCACAGCACTAAGAAGCTAAAGCCACTTCAGCATGAGTTTGATCCCCACCCCGGAGGTGACCCACTTGGCGCGGCAGACCTCTCCTGATCCGCCCGCTGCTCCCCTCAGCAGTGTACTTAGTCAGACAGCCTGTTCTGCTCCCCACTCTGTCCCTGGTGAATCCTCTCACTGCCCCTGCACCTCTAGCCTGTACCCCAGCTCCGTATGCATAAATAAATAAATCTTTAAAAAAAACCCAAAAAACAAAAAACATGAATGCTGAGGGCTCCTGTCTGGTGGGTGACTTTGGAGCAAGGGTGCTTCTGGACACAGATGTTGCCAGATTAAAGTATGATAACTGAAATTACAGTGGGCCAGGGCACCTGTTAACTCTTGTGTGGTTACATGGAAAAGAAGTAATCTATAAAAATTGGTTGACTTTGAATTTCATCTTTGGACCAGGGACTAAAAGGAAGGCAAGGACCCCCAGGAACTTCTGGACAAAAGGGCTTGTTGGGGGCTCAGGTAGGTTTGAAAAACTAACAGGTGCCACACAGCTTCTCATTCACAATGTTTGATTTTATATACCTGAGTGTTCCTCTACAAATAAAACAAAGCCACCTAGTGTGTTGTGAAATTCGTGGGTATCAGGAATTTCTGAAAGCAACTACTTCAGTGCAGTGGACATTGATTGCCGCCTTCTACTGTAGGCATATTGTGACCTCTGCAATAAGAGTTTGTGTGTCAGCCTACAGCACAAGAACACATCGTTCTCTAAAGGGGTACAAATGATTAATTTAATTGTCACTAATATATAAAAAGTATTGTCCCAATTTTATAGATGAGGAAACTGAGGCTCAGGGATTGTTTAGTCATCTGAAAGAAGTGGCCAGACTAACCTCCAATTTGGATTCTTCTAGTTTCTGTCCTCCTCACCCTGTGTCTTGGTGGTCCATGATGGTGTTACACCTGATTGAGGCAGATGATCAGGAGTGGCTTCCTAGGGGAAGGCCAACTGAGACTGCTCAGAAAGATGAGCAGTAAGCTTTAACTTAGGGAAAAGAGTTTCTGTTTGGAGATTCAAAAGAGCAGCTCCAGGATGGTCTAAATCCTGCTGTGTCTCTTGGTCAAGGAAAATCTAACCGCAGACTAATTTAGTATTTCCTTTCTCATTTGATAATATTCACTAGTTGGAGTAGGCAAGAGTCCAGGCATTTGTCTTTCAGTATGATGATCAAATGATGTTTCCCTCTAGTCACCAGATCAGCCATCTATTTCTCTGCACATGGTATATGTAAACTCATGAACATCTTACTCCCCAACTCCAGTCAACTCAGAGGCTAAATGGTGCATATTATGCATTTTATATGTGAAAGATAAAGTAAAATATGTGGAAATCGAAAGGTGATATGAGCATATTTCAGGAATAGCTAGAGTGTCAGATAGTTCACCCTGCTGTCTTTGAGGTGATTTCAGTCATGTTCTTGTTGCAGGGGAATCCTGGGTTTCCAGGGCCACCTGGTTCCAAAGGAAAAGCTGGACCAAAAGGAATGAAGGTAAATTCAGAGAACACACTCTTCCTTGATGGCCAGTTGGCTGTTCTGTACGAATCTCTCCTTTGTGGTCATTCTTCACATGGGTATCTGAGGTGGTTGGCAATGATGCTGGTCCTCCTTTACCTCAGAGCTGCGTAGATGGGCACAGATAAGGAACGACATAGAGAAAGACACGCAGCGAGATGGTCAAATAGATGGTCATAGATACCAGTCAACAGAGACACGTCAATAGATAAACATGGATTCATCACAAATGCAGATTTAGATATCCTCACCTAAAAAAGTTACGTAATTGCTGTTTTATACCTGGCTTTGCTAGTTTTCAGGACCAAAATATTGACTGCATTTGTTAGTTATCTATACCTAACAAAACCGAGCGTTGAGATGTTTGCTTTCAACTGATGCCAGTGGGGCTTGAAACGAGTGACTAAAATATCCAAGCAAAATGACATAAAATTGCATATTTACGCATGAATGAATTTAATCTCTATCCTCTGTTATTAAAGGGAGAGGTTGGTGATTCCGGAAGAATAGGCTTGCAGGGTCCACAGGGACGAAGAGGGCAACCAGTAAGTCTAATCTCTCTTTGTTTAAATTAAATCTTTATCACGGTAACATTGTTTTATAATATTACCTAAGTTTCAGTTGTAAAACTTTGTAACTTGACATCTATAAGCGCTACTTCAAGATCACCACCAAGTATTTATATTTAACTTTTGGTGTATCTTTAACCTCCTGCACCCTCCCTCCCACTCCCTTCTGTTTTCTGTCAGTCCAGATGCTCAATGGATTTTTCGTTTGTAACTATTATTTAACATAAAATTCTAACATTCTGGATGAATTGAACTCAGTGTTACAGGTAGCATCACTAGAATGGTGGTGAATCTGAATAGTCTGGTGTTGGCAAGCTCTTGCATGACCTTGGCTGGCTTCTGGACGTAGATGCTGAAAGGCATGTGAAAGCACGTGGGCTTTGGGGGGGCGCTTTCAAGTGCCAGGTCTAAGCTCCAAGAATGTGAGAAAATAGGTCATGCGAGCCAGCATCCACGTCTGAGAAAGATAGTGAAAGGAGCTTATCAAGAGAAGAGTCCTGGTGTGTGTGAGGGCTGGGCCATCTGGGTCTGGACCCAGTGTTCCAAGATTAGAACACCAGATACAGAGTTAGAATAACTCTCAGCTATTATTACTTCTTGAGACTGTCCAGACAGATGAAGTCAATATGTTACTGTTTCAGTTTGTTGATGTAGAGTATATTAAGAGCACGCTGCAAATTAACGGTTCACTCATGTTGGACATAGCAGTCATTCCTCTGGTTCGTCCTTCACAGGCACTCCCCAAGTCCTGGACACACTAGAGGTCCACAGTCTGGAATTCTCAAATTTTCATTTCAACAGACTCCAAAACTGGCTCAAGAGTGTGCTGGCCTGTTCACAGGTTCTGAAGGGGGACATGCCAGGGGCCCTTTTCTATCTGACAGAGATGCGCTACAAGCATTTGAGTCTCTTTTCAGAGTGTTTAAGGAAACACTTTCCCAGGGAGACAAGGCATCCAGGCAGCGTTGTCAAGCTTTACGGGCCTAGATTTGATTGTCCAGGAACACAGCAGTAACCTCAAGGATCAGGATCACAGGCTTCCTTCCCAAAACAGGGCCACACAGCTTGCCTTCATCATGGCTCTGAACACTAGAGCACAGTAGTTATTTAATGACTCTATTCACTAAATAACTTAGCTTTGTGACACAGAATCATATTCCTACAACATATTCTGAGTTTCTTTCTGCAGCATATAATAGTTTTGTACCTTTTTTTTTTTTTTTAAGTAGAAGCAGCGTTGGTTTTCATGAGCCAGAGAAATTGCATTTTAGCAAGGTGAGGAGAAAGGAGCAGGCTTAAGAAGAGTAAGATTAAATGTGGAAGGTGGGAGAAAAGGATAAGATTACTGTAAATGGAAGATGGGGCAGGTAATGTTTTGCATGTACACACAATGTAGATGATGCCGTTAACACTGTTTAGCTTTATCAAAATCTGGCCATTGAAGGTGTCACAAAGCACATTCTTACTGATCTTTCCCTGGGGCAGACAAATCTGGGGAGTAGTGCCATTGTTTCTTTCTTGTACAATGAAAATAAGTTTAGGTCAAGGGGAACTTTCACAGTTACTTGGCTTGCTAAGTCCTTGGTGTCATCTTGCTGCCTTAGGACTTCACTGTAAAGGTGGTTATGATTTTTAGGACATAATGCAAAAAAGGTTATATCTTGGTCTTTTAAAGTTTTAAAACCTGCCCCTTCCTTATCTACTATGAAGGTAGGAAAAACCTCCACCAAAGCCCTTTGCCTTCTTCACCTCCCTGCGCTGCTGATTTTCTGAGTTCCGGTCATATTATCAACCAAAGGTTGTCTGGAGGACTGTAATTCACCGTGTGTCATTTTCTCAGGGTGCTCTTGGTCCAGATGGATATGGACGTCCAGGAAGAAAGGGAACAAAGGTGAGGGCTACCTACAGAATATTCTGAACTAAGGGCTGTAGTTTTTTTTTTTTTTAAAGATTTATTTATTTGTGCATACAGAACTGGGGTACAGGCCAGAGGCTCAGGGGCGGAGAGAGGCTTCACCAGGGACAGAGTGGGGGAGCAGAACAGGCAGATGACCAAAGTACACTGCTGAGGGGAGCAGCGGGTGGGTCAGGAGAGGTCTGCCATGCCATGTGGTCACCTCGGGGCAGGCGGGAATCGAATTCATGCGGAGGCGGCTTTAGATTCTCAGTGCTGTGCTTTAACCCGTTGTGCCACCAGGGAGGGCCTAAGGACTGTAGTTTTTAATTTTAGTGTTACTGGAATAAGGAGCGTTACCCATGCAGCATGCCACAAATGGTTTCTGCATGTTGTTCATGACACATTGTAGTTGCCAGAGACCTTTCCTTAAAAAATAAAAGCTGATTTTGTTATGCTCTCATTTAAAAATCAGCCTGGCTACGTCATCTTCCACCTGTGCCAGATACTCCCACCCCAGCTCCTTTCCCAGCTCCTTGCCTTATGCCGACCCTCTGACCTCTATTTGGGGTGCCCATCCTTATTTTCCTCTTTTGTTAAATGTTTACATGTTTTCTTAGAGCCACTCAAATATCACCTTCTCCCCTGGAAGCGTTCTTGGACTTCCTCATGCAGAGTCTTTTGTTCTTCACTCTGTGTTCCTAAATAAAGCACATTGTTTGTATGTCCACAGTAACCTCATCCCATTTAGGCTGTGTTAGAATTTAGCCATGCACACATGTTGACCTTCCAGTCTCTAAACTTGACAGCAGATTGCACTGGACTCACTTATGTGTTGCTGGAATGGGGCTGACGTGGAGTAGTGCTCAGTGACTACATTTAAACATCCCTTTGTGAATACCTGCCACTCCCATAGGAAGCTGGTATTTTAACATGTAGTTACAGGGTCACCGATAGAGGTTGTGAAGCTTGGAAGTCACCTGAAGCTTACCGAACAAATGAGATGTCAGTAGGCACTATTATTTCAGGTGCTTTAGCCTGCAACGTACATTTATTGCTTCACAAAACAAAAAAAACATGGGTTGTTTACTGGCACTCATGACAGTGGCAGGCCTCTGTGCTGGCTTCTCTGCTATTCTTGTTTCTCTTGTGGGACTGCAAGGTGGCACCACTGCCATTTTATCCACCAGGAAAAAGTCCTAAACTCAGTAAGCTCTTAGGAAATATCTGGGAAATGATGGTACAGAGGGTACCTCAGTGATCATCCAGTTCAACCTCATAAGAAATATCCTATTAAGAAAATTGAGACTCAGACATGACGTAACTTCCTATGTTTGCGTGGCTTATCAGGGACAGAGCTGAGTGCAGAAGCCAGTTCACTGGTGCCTTATTCTGGCATCCCGAGTCTTCTTTGAATGGGAGCATTGACACAGCAGAGGAGTTCTTGGTAGAATTCGACTGTGTATGTTTTGAGCCAACTTGGCGTTAAGTCCAGGGCAGTTTATGCTTCTTGTGACACGTAACCACCTGGAGCACACACTGTCCCTTCCTGTTGCATGCATTTGTCCTGGCAGTACACCATGGCCTCCCTTCCATGACACTCAGTCTCCTTGGCCGGTGCCTGCCTCTTCCTAGTGTGCTCATTCTCCTCTTCTCTGAGTTGGCGTTCACACCTTCTCTCCCTCCCTCAAGCCTCCAAGACCCGCTGTCTCTTCCACGCTGGTAGCAGACTGTTGTGCTTCTTCTTCCATTAATTAAATGGACGCAGTACGAGGAGGCCTCTACATACATCCGGCATGGAGACCAGCCTGCTTGTCTCTGTACTTACAAACCCCGCACTTCCTTCCAGAGTGTGCCTGAGTCCGTGCCCCTATCTGGGTGGGGGGTGGGCTCCTCTTTTTAATACATTCCTTTTTTTAATGCCTCCTAAAGGCCCTGGCTCTGTGGTGCCACCTTCCTTTTTTCACATGACCGAGTTTTCTTCCTTCTTCATTGTTCTTTCCCATCAGTACACAAAGAAGTGGGAGCGTCTTCCATCTAGACAAATAAGCAAAACACAACCCTCACTTAAACTATACATGTCCATCATCCCATTTCTCTTTGGAAAAGCCCTATGAAAGGACAGTCTATAGCAGTGGTGCCACCCAAGGGTGACTTCACCCTCCAGAGGACAGCTGGCACTATCTGGAGACGTTTCGGCTGGAAGACTCCTTGGCTGCTTCCAGTATCTCCTGAGTACAGACCAGCCATGCGGCTTTTCACCCCCTACACAGGCCCACCCCTCCCAACACACAACCTTCGGGTCCACGGCCAGTGGCTGACAAGGCCGAGAAGCTTCACTTCACTTTTCTGATTCTGACCACTGCTGTCAAGCCTCCGCGCTACGGCTCTGCCTGTTGACGCGGCCGTCAGGCTCGGAGCGACAGCGAACAGCCGGTTCTCTCTCGCCCTCACTGGGCTGCCTTTGACCAAGGTGACTTGGGTTTGTTCTTGAAACTTCCTCACCCAACATTGAGCACACCCCACTTTCCCAGTTTTCACTGGCTGCTCTTTCTCAGCCTCTTTAGCTGGATCCTCCGAATTTTCTTGAGCTCTAAATATTGGCAGACTCAGGGATCTACCCTTCTGATTTCCTTTCTCTGTTCCCCCAGTGGCCCTATCCAGTCCCTGCACTAATACCATTTGTCCTGTCATCTCCAGTTTATGTCGCCAGCTCAGACCAGTCGCTTAAACTCAAAATATGCTTCTCTTGCTCATCTAGTGTATAAAGCAGGCGGCTTTAAAATTAGCCTGTTCCCAAACAACTTTTTAAATTCTTCTTGTATGTTATCTTTATTATGGAAAAGTTCAAGCACAAATAAAAGTGGAGAGGGTAGTATAGTGATACCTAACCCCCTCCCAGATACCCATCATCTGGCTCAAACAGTGAAAAATGTTTGGCTCATTCTGTCTTCCCACACTCCCACTGCAAGACTATGCAGTGAATCCCAGGAATCTCATACCTCAGGCATCAGTAGGTTTCAGGTATCTCTGAGTGATTCTTTAAAAATATACAGTACAGTCATTCCATTTAAAAATGAACACTAGTCCTTTAATATTCTCAAACATCCAGTCAACACTGATTCTCCTGAAAACTGTCCCACCATCTCAGGAAATGGCAACTCCATCCTTCAATTGTTCAAGACTCATGCTTACACCATCTTCCATATGTTGCTTTCTCTCACCCCCTAAATTTAATTTATTAACACATAATAGTGAGTCAGTCTTCAAAACAGACCAGCATTGTCCCACTGACCCCCACAGCTGCTGCCATCCTCTGGGCCACGCCAGAGGATCCGAATTTCGACACTGACCACATACCTGCTCTCCCTGCTTCCACTGCCTCACCTAGCTTGTTCACTGCGCAGGAGCCAGAACCATCTTGCAGACACATGGCCAGGTTATGTCTCTCCTTGACTCCGCCCAGCAGTGCCGCCCAGTGTCATTCAGTTGAAGGCCACTGTGACCATGGCTTACAAGACTGCTAACTGGCCCCTCTGTTGACCACCTGGCCTCATCTCCTGCCCCCACCAGCCCATCATTCTTTTCTGCTGTTCCCCAGATACATCCCACATTCATACTCTTGCCTCAAGGTTTTCCATATACTCTTCCCTCTGCTTGGAATACTTTTCTTCCGTATCTGCTTGGCTTGTCTCTTCGACACATGCTGTCTTTGCCCAAATGCCACCTTTATCTTTCTAAAAATGCTTTTACCTGATCGCCTTCTATGGGTCAGCCTCCCTTCCCCCCCCACACTATCCATGTCATTCTTTATCTCTTAACTCCCCACTGGGAGTACCATTTCTCTTTCCCTGACATATTTCTTTCTCACTAGTTGGGTAAGTTCCACAATAGCAGAATTTTTGGTGTGTTCACCATTGAATTCCCAGTACCCAGAGAAGTGCCTGGTACAGGGTGGGTGCCAAATACGTATCTGCTGAATGAGTAATTATTTTAGAGTATGCCTCGGCTCTAACAAGGAGTTACCTGCTCAGCCTGGACTCCTAAGAGCAATGAACACATGCTCTCTCCCCCGCTGCTAGGGCCAGAGGCGTGCTGGTCAGAGACAGAGACGCCGCTGCCCTTCTCAGGGCCCAGGCCCCTCTTTGGACTGCAGAGAAAGGGGAAGTACGTGGAGCCCCTCAGTTTAGTAACCTTTTCTTGGGTCAGATCTCCAGCTAATTAAAGAGATAAAATTGTTTCAGAAGGAAGTTTCATTACACAGTCTCTCAAATAGGGGGGTCCATTTGTGAAAATCATTTGTAAGTTGTTTCACACTGAATTATAGAAATAAAATATGATCACTGGGGAGTAGCTCAAGATAGCAGATGCACTAGTCATTTTTCCTGGCTGTTTTGAGTTTCTCCTCAAAATTTTAGTTTCTTCTTTTTCCCTGAGGAATGTCAGAGTAAGACTCCAGAGGCATGACATTACACTAACCCTCATTTCCTTTCTGACACTAGGGTGGAATCGGACTTCCTGGCTATCCTGGTGCACAAGTGAGACGGTCCCTCCCTTGGCCCGGCCGCCGGTACGCAACATGCAGCTCTAGCTGTATTTCTTTTTCTTAATACTCAAGGTTCTGCTTTGATCCTATTAAGGGAGAAGTTGGGGACCCAGGCCGCCAAGGAGAGAAGGGGGCAAAGGGCCACAGAGGGACAAGGGTAAGAACCAGGAATTGACCTTCTCGAGCTCTCCAGAGGCGCATCACGACACCCTGCTCACAGGAGCACATTTCCGCGCTGGTAATGGACGTGTTAGCAGCAAGCCCATGTCCTCCTCGGTCAGTGCACTGTCCACACAATCCTTGGCTGTCCACTCCGCACTTGGTCTTACTCCAATTTACCCTCTGAATGCAAATGGGGTTCACCAGACCTTAGCAGCAGAAAATCCAAATTGGTGTTTTAGTTACGCATTGTAAACCTTTCAAAAAACAAGTTTGGGGGTACCTCTATGCTTAGTAAGTTTAGCTGGCATGTGGAAGCGTATTATTTTAGCTGCAGAACTTCCAAGCGTTAACTTTTTCTTAGCTATTTTAGGATTAGATGTCAGGTCAGTGACTGCCATCTCAGTGGACTTTGAGTCAAGTTTTCATGGTGCATACCATTAAAAATCCATTCCTCCACATTCTGAAGATTCCGTCTTGAAGCACCTCTCTACTGCCAGCTCTTTGTGGAAAGAGTAACCCTATGATGCCTGACTCCTCAGCAGTGTTAGGCTGAGAGACATAGAGACCTTTTTGGAAAAGGACAGGATGCACTCAGTGAAGAAAAGAGGAAAGGAGAGAGAACATGAATTTTCTAAAATTAAAAAAAAATAGTAATAGTTATTTTTTGTAAATTGCAAGGATACAAAGAAAGTTATGATTTATACCCAATTTGGCTTGCTGCTGACTGTTGATTTGCTCAGCTAAGCTTATCTTTCTGGGTTCAGATAAAAGATAAAGCAACAATTATGTGCAGATAATTCTCTGTCAGTTCAGATTCCTATAAGATGAACAGTGAGCCCTTGGTTGACCTGTGCCTTTTTGGAGACACCAGAAACCAGGAGTTCAAGGAACCTTTCTCTTCTCTTGAGGCCAGACTCTCAATGCAGAGTTCCAGCATCCTTTCAATTACATGGCCTGGAGGTTCAACTGAGTATTAAGCCAGCCTTTATGGTCTGTTTGGAAGAGTTTGTGTGTTCATACATGTTGTCTGGAATTGGGTATGGTGGCAGGGGTGGGGTGGGGGCGGAATTTAGATAGCTAAAGAAACTGCTTTCTCGTCTCTGTGACTCACTCCACTGATCACAGTGGATAAAATAACTGGCCCATAAGCAGAGCTGTTGGTCCTGGGATCAGTGACAACTTGGTATCTCAAAAGGAGTCTGATGCTTTTAAGCGACTTACTGCACTGGTTTGGTCATTTCAGGGCAATACTGGCTTTCCTGGATTTTTTGGAACTCCAGGTGACCGAGGCCCACCAGGACCAATGGTAACATGGAAACTTCGCCTTTCACTTATTTTCAATCTTTGTGTAGAAGCGAAGCACTTGCTAAGTGGCATCTCTGAAAAGCAATGACTCTTTGGGACACACAGAAGTTCTAGATAAGGAATGGGTAACTCAGCTGTAGAGGGCGTTAGCGGCAAACGGTTACACTGTGTATTTGCTCAGTAGACTTTTTTCTTGAACACTGGAAGCAGCAGCTGGCCATATATGTCTGTCCCAATACATAAGAGATACATCAGAGGACACAAGTCACTGAAGAGTGAGTTTATCAATGTAAGCAAGATGAACAGTATTTATGTAAAAAACAGAAGGAAACCTAACAATATGACATTTATTTAAACTGAACTGAACTGAAAAGGTTGCAAACCCACAAATATTTTTCAAGTTTTCTGGAATGTCATTTGGAACATGAGGAAAGATTTTGAGGCTGTTGCTACTTTGTTCCACGCCTTATAACAGGGCCGAGGCTGTAACTCCATGAGGGATGGCATAGCACAGGTCATCTGGGTGTTGAATCTGGTGTTTTCGCTGCAAATTACAGAAGTCACAGAAACAGCAAAGACATAGCAGCAAAAGTCTTAGAACCACCTTTGCCCACTTTACAAATAAGGAAGCAAAAACTGAGATGATAGTGACCTGCCCAGAGTCACAAATTACTCCCTTCTAGAGTCTAAATAAGAACAGGCTCTCTATTCTCCCAGCACAGTTGAAGTTGAGCAGCTCTCTTCTGGAGGGTTCCTGTGAAGACATGCTTAGTACTAGGGAAGGGGTGGCGTGATGGGGGTGGCTCTCAAAGTGCCTATGAATGATCTCTCCTGAATTTGACCCTTCACTATACCTCAGTCTCAGAATGACCTACTCTTAAGAATCTTTACGTACTATCTACTGGGCCTCCTGACTGACATCTGGGACAAAGTAGGCACTCAGACAGCCTTCCTTAAGGGAGGGTCAGGCAGAACTCCAGAGCCAGGAGGGAAGGGCAGAAGGTGGTCTGTGTACTGTGGTCAATTTTTTTAGAACCTCTTGTCAACTCTGAGATAATAATGTGTTAGGCCTCAGAATCCTGCATTTTGAACCCAAGTTTTATTCTTTCTAGGGTGTCCAGGGCCCCAAAGGTGTGGCAGATAGGACGGTAGGTGAAGATTTTAATTTGAAACTTTATTCTTTTCACAAAGCTTTCCACCTTCACAAAATAGAAATCTGTAAAGATCCTTTAGTTTCTACTCTTAAAAATTCTCTTTGTGGATTTTACTCTGGGAATGTTATAACCAAGTCAAATACAAAGAGTGGAATACTACTTCAAATCCTAGAGGGAACCTGCATGTTTTTGAGTAACACTAATTGACATGAAAGGAAAGCTCTATCTTTCTGCAGCATACTTTTTTGTAAAGTTCAAAAATTGCCTATAAAGTATTTATAAGGCAGCACAGATGTAATACAGGCCTTTGTGTCTCATAGCATATCTGAAAACAGTCTGAGAAATCTGTGGGGTTTTTTTTTGGTCTTCCAAGTACAAAAGTGCTATTGAGGGAGGAAAATGGATGGGTAGAGAAAACTAAAGAGCAGTTGGGATGGAGGGGAGAACAGATCAGAGAGGATGGGCCAAAGGGAAGAAACAGATTTCTAGGAGGTGTTGAGGTATCTGTCTTGGCAACCACTCTTTAGATGTGTTCCAGGAATTGCTAGTATGAAGACCTAAGAATTAAAGGCCTTTCTGTGCCCTGGTGCCAGGAGTCCTGGTTTAAACTTCTCCAGAATCCTTGCAAATAATTATAGTACAGGAATTTTTCCAGGATTCAGAAATAGTAATCATTGCATAGTTTCATCTGCTGTATCAATGCTTAGGGTTTCTGTTGTGGATTATAAAGCTTCAGACCTGTACTGGTAACATCCATGTGACAAGTCTCTGAGTCACGAAAATGAGGAGCACTGTTCTTCAAATTAAGTACTTTTCCTTTTCACTCTCTCTACCCAACAGCCTTGTGAAATTGTTGGTTTCGTGCGAGAAAACTGCCGTAAGTTTGAAGGAGGCTTCGAAGGAACCAGTGGTTTGAAGTGGGACTGGGTCATGGACCAGGGATGTAGTGACTTGTGAAATGGACTGAGGTTTGGAAGGTGACATTGTGCGTCCTGGAAGGCTCTTTTTTTTTTTTTTAAGATTTATTTGTTTATGCATATAAGAAATGGGGTATAGGACAGAGGTGTGGGGGTGAGAAGATTTACCAGAGACAGAGTGGGGAGCAGAACAGGCAGATTTTGACTGAAACACACTGCTGAGGGGAGCAGCAGGAGGATCAGGAGAGGTCTGCTGCGCCATGTGGGTCACCTCCCTGGCTGCTGCAGTGGCTGCGGACAGCTTCATAGCGCTGTGCTTTAATCCCTTGCACCACCTGGGAGGGCCTTGAAAGGCGCTTATAAATTGGTATGTTTGACCCCCTTGGGTCAGTAATTTTCCACAGTGTCAATTCAGGATTGACATGGCTGAGAAGCACGCCATCTCAGGAGAAGAAGAATTCTGCAGTACAGCACCTTAGGAATTGCAGTGCTAATTATACACTGACTGTCTGCTCCTTGGTGCTTCTTATGAATGGGAGGATTCAGGAAGAAAAAATGAATGTCAGTAAACCTATAAAAATGACCTCACAATGAGTCAAAGAATACAACTTAAAATAATGAGATGTTCTTTTTGTTCTCAAATTAGAAATTTTTCCAATGACTGAAAAAAAAAAGCTCTATCTAAATTTAGGAAGTATATACAAAAGGACAGATTGCTGTTGGTGGTGTAAATTAGTGCAGATGCTCTGAAGAGCAATTGGATAATGTATATCAAAAGCTATAGTGATATTTCTGTAGGACTGTAACTGGACAAATATACACAAGTACATGTGCAGGTATGCTCACCACAAAGAGATGTTGGCATAAAAGTCATAAGATATCCACACACACACACACACACACACACACACACACACACACACATCCAAAAGATATTGACATCGCAGAACAGATGATACTGATCTGTATTTGTGGATGCAAAAAGATAGATGTTCATTCACTAAGTAAAGAAAGGTTTGGAATAGTATATATATCCTAAGCTTCAACTTTTATGAAATAAAACATATTTTTATATACCTATATGTGATGATGAAAGGTTAATTTTGATTTTTGTATTTTCAACTTTTCCATAAAAGTATATTAAATTGTGTGCACACACTTACAGTTGATAGGTAATAATAGAGTTTTTGATGTCTATGAATGTGTATAAATAGATATTTGCATGGCTGCAGAATACCTGCCTCTCTTATGTAGATTGAAGGTGAGTTGAGTGTGACCTCAGTGCTCAGCAGCAATGACACAAAGATATTTCTCTAATCAAAGCCTAGAAGTTGTGGCCCAGGGCTGAGAGGGAACTCCATGATGTTTAAGGACAGGGGCTCTTTCTTTTGTCTTGCTTTGCCAGTGGGACAAGGATTCTATTTCACAAGCCCCCTAATGGTTCTAGATGTCAAGCTTCAACCAGCAGGAAAAGGAAAGCAAAGGAGAAGGATGCCTTCTCAAAGTGGAACCTCCCATTTTTCTTACACCATTATCCAGTTACTAAAGATGGCTGCGCTGTTGGGAAATGTAGTCCTTGCTCTGGGCAGCCATATACCTACCCAGAGATTGGGATTTATTACTATAGAAAAAAGGAAGAGACAGGAATTAGGTAACAAGTAGAATTTCTGATTGAATATTTCCAAGGACGTGGTTTTTCATATTGAAATACCACATGGAAAGATACGGACAAAACACCCACATAAACTAACAGTGTCGTCTTTTCTCTCCCAAACAATTTCTCTTGCAGCTTGTTCAACAGGTAAATAATATTTCTTCTTATTGACTCCAGTCTTCTCCTGTTTAGGGGCAGTACAGGAAATCTTAAACTTCTATTTTTATCACCTCAAGGTGTTTCTAAATGCCCCATGTTCCCAACCGAAGTGGTCTTTGCTCTGGACATGTCAAATGGTGTCTATCAGTTGGATTTTGAGAGAATGAAAAGCATTTTGTTATCTCTGTTGATGAAGATGGAGATCAGTGAGAGTAACTGTCCGGTGGGTGCCCGAGTGGCCGTCATTTCATACAACACCAAAACAGACTACCTGATCCGCTTCTCTGACTACCTGGGGAAGCCTGCACTCCTGCAGGCCGTGGAGATGATCCCCCTGTCGTGGTCGTCTGGCAGCAGGAAACTCGGTGACACCATGAAGTTCGTGGCAAGGCATCTGTTTAAACGCGTGCGTGCGGGCCTTCTTGTGAGGAAAGTGGCCGTGTTCTTCCAGGCAGGCTGGGCCTACGACGCGGCTGCCATCAACACGGCCTTTCTGGAGCTCAGTGCCCTGGACATCTTCCCCGTCGTCATCACCTTCACCCAGAGGCACAACCTCCCAGATGCTCTGCTGGTATGTGGGGAACCACTGGGCAGCGGGCTGCTCAGTTCAGGGGAGGACTCCCGAGAGGGCCCATGTGTGCAGTGTGTATGGGGGATCTCCTCATGGGCTCTCCTGTTAGTGCTCTTCCTTGAGAGCAAACTCAGTGCTGAGTGCCTCACAAAAGTCTTATTCAGTTACCTCCCAGACTCCGTAAGGTGGGTGTGATTGGTGATTGTATGTCTCCATTTCAGAGAGAAGAAACTGAGACTTAGCGTAGGTAATCACACCAGAGGTTAGAAATCTAGTTAGACTGAAATTATCTGCCTCGGTCATGCTTAACCACCATGCTGAACTGTCTCGTGGGACTCCATGAAAGGTCTTTGTTCAAATTGCATATTCTTATGAGAGTGGGTAATTGCACTGACTCTAAATGCACAGCTGGATGGATTCTGGGTGTTTAAACCCTTCACCAAGACGTGTTCCAGATCTGAACCCTCTCAGCATTCTCTACACTTTCCCTCACATCTCTTCCCATATCAGAGATTCCTTCTTGCCTCTCTCACAGTCAAACTGTTGGACCCATGCTGGACTTTTGTGTATGCTAGACACTCTCTGATGTACTGTTTTGTGTCTGGCTTCTTTCACTCCATGTTAATGTCTGTTTTCTCTATTAGTCTATGGCATGTAATTTGTTTCGTTCACCACTTTTCTGAAACGTTCTAGGGTATTTGTATACCTTTTTTTTTTTCCTGTTCTCCAAACTTTACTTTTTGAACTGAAACCCATGCGATACATTCTTGTGTATCTCTGGGATGATTGCAAAATGATAGGTGGTTTCCAGACTGGTTATAAATAGCAGGTTGGACAA